GTATTTTGTAATGAGCATATAGCTCCAGTCATCCTCTCAGAATGGCTACCACAAAACTATCAGAGAGGTTAGATGGTCACAACTTATCGAGAGGATATGGGACTAACAACCATGACCTCAATATGTTGTAGATAGCACGGAAACATGGTTCTTTACTTTATGTTAGGCATGGATTATGTTGCATAGAGGGGAAGATCAAGAGGGTAATACAAGTAAATCAGAAACATATGTTGCACTAAAAATTTTAAGAATAAGAAAAAACATGTAATGGTAACAATAAACCTGAAATCTGATGCACTTATTGTGGAAAAACTTCTTGCTGGTGACACTCAGCTTTGACGAAAACTAAGAGATGATGTCAGAAGTGAAATAGAAATCAAACAGAATAAGAATGGCCAAAATATCTTCAACAGTATGCAACAATATTGCACATCTATAGAGAAAACACATTAAATGTGAGAATTGTCAAATGTTATGTAAATTCTACTGCACGGCCATTCAACTGAGTTTACACAGGGGCCAAAATGTTGGAGAGTGGAAGCCCCAGCATAGAAATATCATTAATACAATACAAGTGGCAGGCGATCCACGGGCCACTTGTTGAAAAGACCTGCTCTGCTGTATGATCCAGAGGTCTGGACAATTAACAGACTAGAAAATTAGTTTAAATCTTTGGAGACATGATAAACAAAAGACTATAGCATTTCATGAAAAACAAAAACAGTCAAATACTGGAGCTCTGGAGAGAGTTGAGTTGAGTTGATTCAAGAACCGTCATCACAGCACTTGGGGCATTCTCATAAGCACTCCATCCCCATCTTCAGCAGCCAGCGAAAGAGTTCCGATACTAATGATGCCAGAAGCATTCTGATTTAACGTCTGTCTGGCCTTTCCTCTGAGCCTCGAGCATCTGCCAGAACCTCTCATCACTCACCCTGCATCAGTCTCACTAGACTGTGGTGATCCATCTGCTCCTCTGAAATGTACACTCTCTCCCACAAGGTACTAACCACGTCTGCCTTATCATCCATCAGTATTCCACCAAGTTGTGCAGAGCTAGCCAATCTGTCTGCTGTTTCATTTTCCAACACACTGGCGTACCCGGTGAAAAAATCCAGACATTACTCCTCACCCGTGTCCTCCGCAGTGAAGCATGCCACTCTGCACAAAGCATGCATGTCCTAATCTTCCTCAGAATGCTTTCTGAGTCAGTTTCAATCACGATGTGTGTGTGTCATGTTCTCTAATCAGCGGAAAGCTGCAGTGACCGCCTCAACCTCCATTCTTAAGCTTGATAATGTGGTATCATATGCTAGGCTCTCCTGCACCAAACATTAACTTTTGCTAAGAAACCCCAAGCACTTCTTTTGCCTCTTGACATTGAACCGTCTTTGTAAATAATCAAATCCTCTGAGCGAGCATTATCTTGAATTAATTGCTGAATTTCCACCTCATGGCACCTGCTGGCCAGTCTCTGCATTTCCAGCTCAGTGTGATTATGACCCTACACAAGTCTGACTGTTCAGGTGGCACTTTGACCCACTCCCCTCCTCACATAATGTTCTCAAGGATGCAAACCTGTCTGATTGTGTCTTCTGCCTGAGCCATCCATGACTTCCCTCTTATCAGGATCTAATGCTTAACTGCCCCCAGAGCTTCGCGCAAAGGGTGATTAGTGATTAGAAAAGATTATCATCACAGCACTCTGGACAGATCCATAGGTGCTCCTATCTCCTCCTCAAAAGCTCCACAAGTGTAAAACGACTGATGAGGCCTGTTCTGTGTTGGTTAATGAAACATCTTGTCCTCTTAGTGAAATGTTCATTTCTTGCAAAGGGTGGTCTGTGTCTGCAGCTACCCTGAGATATGACTTCACCTGCAGCACCTTGTACCTACCTGCAACAGTTGGCAAACCAAGGATGTATTGCATACACGCCACTGGGGTGTCTCTGGTGCAACCCAGAATGACCCGCATAGCCGCGTTCTGTATGCGCTCTAGTTTGTCCATCTGATTCTTTGAGACGGTAAGCAGTCCCAGGCCATAATCAACCACTGACAGAATCAGGTGCTAATATGGGGTGAAAAGCATTCTCTGCTCTAAGTCAATTGCAGCCATAGTCCTAAGTGCACTGAGTCCTTTTTGGCATCTTGTCACAACACTCTCCACGTGGTCCTCAAAGGACAGGCTCCTGTCAAATGTAATTCACAGATACTTCAATTTGCTCTCTCTGTTGATGTTTCTACCATCTATCGTGAGACTTTGGACATTAGCTTTAACGATCCTGTTGTCTAAAGAAAACCTTTTCCTGGTGGACGACAGACCTCGTTTCTGTAAACTACTTGGTCACTTTGTCTGCTGTCGCTTTTAGCTCCTGGGCTGTTAGTTCCCTCTCTTTCCCCTGCCTATATGCAAGTATATCATCCACTAAAGTCAGTCCTTCCAACTCCTGGTGCTTCTAGGCTTGCAATGCTCGTGAACACATTAAAGAGCAGAGGCAAGATAGTGGATCCCTGTGGCAGTCCTGGGGCCAAATTGCATGGTTCTGAGGTCCATGAGCCCAGTCGGAGAGCAACCCGACGAGAATACAGGACAGCTGCAACCCAATTCGCCAGCCATGGACTGACCTCCTTCTCCTTCAGCCATCAAGAGGTTGTATTTTATTCTGTTATAAGCATCCTTGAGATCCAGTGCAACCGCCATTGTTTCCTGTCTGTTCTAGAACCCTTCATAGATGCCAAAACCAAAAGTGGCCGCATTTGCCCATGTGTCCTTTCCTGGCCTATAGCTTCCCAAACCTCTTAGGAGAAGCCTCTAATTTCCAAAAAATTTTGCAGCTTTACAGCAACTGTATTCTCCAAGACCTTCCCAAATGTGTCAAAGTGATGACTCTAAAGCCTCTGAGCTTTGAATGATCCTTAAAAGGTTTTGGCAGTGGGATTAGATAGCTGTGCACCCAGTCCTGTGGTGCATATGCTGTCTTAATGCTCTAGTAAAGCAGTCGTACATCTCTGCCAGGACTACATCACTCGAAGCCTTCATGTGGCCATACCTTACCCCATCAGGCCCTGGTACAGTGTCTTTTGCCTTTTTCAAAATATTTTTGATATCTTCTACTCGTATCATGTCTTCATAATGCATATTCTTTAACGTGCCGGCTAACTCCTTTCTAACTGGATCCCTGATGTCTACATAATTATAATCTGTCTGAGCTATAAACCTATGGAGAAAAGCCTCCCCTTTCTCCTTGTCTTTTGTTATACAAACACCATTGTCTCTACAAATTGTTCCCACTGTCATAGGCCCATCGTCTCTTTGCATCTGCCTTTGCAGTTTCCAGAATTTCCTGTGTGTTGTCGCCTCTGGAGAAACTGGCAATAAAGAAAAAAAAGTTGCTAAATTATACTCCTGATAAAAATGACCCTCTAAAGAAAGTGTACAGTTGTTCCATTGTAAACAGCTTCATACAAATTTTGCAGATGCCCAGTGAATGACCAAATCCTCTATCAGAATGGAGTGTACTGAACTGATCTCTATCTCATTTGTAAGAAAGTTAGAAAAGGAGAAGTGCAGAGACTCAGGGAAGACAGTTTGTCATCATGGCAGTGAGCAACACCTATATCAGAAATGGTTAGCAGAACATGAGACAGAAGACTGAACAGACATAAAGATCCATGCGACAAAACGTGTATCATAAGAAATTTATAACTGGAAAGTAGTTATTCACATATATTTCATCTATTTTATTATATTTTTTTTCAAACACCATACAAGAAGTGTACAGTTCTTGATTGATTAAATTGCAGATAATTTGCCTGAAATCACTTTTAGAAGTTCTTAAAGAGTACTTGTCATACATTTATTGGTTGCTCAACACACAGTGCACATTTCTTAACTATTTTATCTCACGTTTCTATAATTCCACTATATTCCAGTTTTTACACAAATGTGAACAGAAAGTCAGTCTAGTGTTATGATCATATTGTTTTGCCCCAAATAATCTTTTGCAATGTTTATAATGAAGCCCGTCTTTTTTGTTGAGATCTATACGTATTTAGTCGGGGATAATATTTTACACAGAAATATGGATTCTAGAAGTGTAGTTAGAATAAATTAAGGGAACATATGAACAGTTCACAGTAACATCTGGAATAAGAGGCGTATTTGTTTATTACAGCTGCTGTTTACCACTTACATTGATAGTATATACAAATATGTCATGTCCAGGAATTAATATACAGTCGAGTCCACTTAAGTGCAACTCAGATAAGTCGACATGACCAGCTTAGTCCCGGCCGTTTTCTCTATTGTGTGTGCTGTTTGGATTAGTAGAAAACTTGGACTTATAGCAGATACAGCTATTAAATTGCAACAGCATCTTGCATCTATGAATGAAGAATGTAAAACTAATAATATAAGACTCAAAGCTGAAAAGATGGAAGTAATGTCAGTATGAAAAACGCAGACCCTAAGTAATCTGGTATAAGTCATTAAAGAAGTCGACATGGAACCAATTCAGATTATGTATAAAGAAAGCATATCGAATGGTTTGTCAGCTTGAAGAGAATGCCTTGTGATGCCAGACCATACAAGGCATACACTAAAAGCGGAAAAGCATTTAGAGCATGAGGTAGATCAAGAACTAGATAAAAGGATAACTTCACAGAATCTACAACAGCACCATGTGTCTATGATCGAGACATTTAGAGGAGCAAGAGGCAGAACCTTATATCTTTCTCGACACATGAAGTGGTCCAAGAGGAAGTGAAGAAGAAGTGCTTCATTAAGATCAGTAGTTTTTACCCTCCTTGATAAGGGTGCCTAATGATGTTATATTTTTGTTAAAATCTTTGTGTTTTTACACTTTTTATAATTTATTTTGCAAAATATAGCATTTACCAAACAAATGATAAATAGTGTTTTTCTTATTCTTAATGTAGTAAGTAAGACGGTAACAGAGATGTTATCATGTTTCTTGAAAAGTCTTCCTGTTCCTACTTAGCCAAACTTCTCCACATCCTGCTGGTGAAAATGACAGCGACCACCACCATAATTTAGTGAGCACATCAGCGAGCAATCGTTACAACAATATTTCAAAATCTGCTTCATCATGGCCTTATAAATATCGGTTACGATCTTATCACACTGTAAGTTAACCTATCTCAGTTTTGTTGCATAAATTAAAGATAATTTTATTTTTAATTAATCATAGATTCAGAAATCATTTGTAAATTTTATGCAGGCTTTAAGAAACATTGACTCCATTTTCAGTTGCCTTAATATTTTTTTTTTTCTATTGGTCTTGGTCTTAGTAGGGTTTTCAACTCTACTGCAATCCGGTCACCGCAAATGCTCACTCAATTCCTATGCCAGTGAGAATCAAATAACATATACCTCACTGTCCCATTTGAAAAACTGGTGAACAGGCGGTTAGTCCTGGTGAACAGGCAGTTAGTCCTGGTGAACAGGCGTTTGTCCTGGTGAACAGGCGGTTAGTCCTGGTGGACAGGCGGTTAGTCCTGGTGGACAGGCAGTTAGTCCTGGTGAACAGGCGGTTAGTCCTGGTGAACAGGCGGTTAGTCCTGTTAAACAGGCGGTGAGTCCTGGTGAACAGGCGGTGAGTTCTGGTGAACAGGCGGTGAGTTCTGGTGAACAGGCGGTGAGTTCTGGTGAACAGGCGATGAGTCCTGGTGAACAGACGGTTAGTCCTGGTGAACAGACAGTTAGTCCTGGTGAACAGACGGTTAGTCCTGGTGAACAGACGGTTAGTCCTGGTGAACAGTTGGTTAGTCCTGTCACAATCCAGTAATATGTGCATGCAGGACATACACACGGCAGTTGCTGGAGGTGCTAAAGTGAAGAGCTGCCACCAGAAATACAGTTTGTTGTTTCTGTGTACATAAGCATTGGAAATAAGGGATAGCTATATCAGTTTGATAATTCAAGTGAACATTATTTCAACTCACAGTTATTGAAAAGTGAATCACATAATTTAGTCTGGATATGTCTCATCTAATCAAATAATTTAGTCAGGATATGTCACAACTAAGTGAGTTGCACTATTTTAATATAGGTTTGTCTTTTGTAAATCAGAATTGTCTTTTGCTGTGTTACTATATTTATGTTCTTTTTGTGCGATTATGTCCATGTTCAAATTTTCTATATTAATATGTTGTCTCTGCAAGTTATGTGTATATGTGCCCAGCCTGGTTCACGATTGTTGCATTAAAATACCTCTTCCACATTTAAAAAAAAAAAAATGTGTTACATCATTTCTTGGTCATAAGTGATTGAAGCAGGACAAGTGTAACCATTGTCTGCTCAGAACAAGGCTGTCATATGTCTGTGAATATGGCCATGTCCCATGTGAATAGACCGAAACTTACTTACCTTGTTATTTAAAGGAGAGAGAGTAGTTTTTGACTGTCATTCATATATTTACTACTAGTGTAGTTGCTCTTCTTCTTCTTCTGCCCTTGATTCCCTAAACTCACACTAGGTCCTCCCTATATTTTTAACTTCACTTTCTAGCTCCCTTCTCTATGTTCTTCCTTGTTCCTAGAAATAGATTATCTGTATCTGCAATGTTGTCTCTAGTATGAACTTTACTGTCTTTTGTAATTCATGCACTGACCCATAAAGTTTCGCTTGCACCAGCGTTTTTCTTGGCCAAAGGTTTTACCTTAATATTTTGTATTTGGGACATTCTTGGAGGACGTGACCTGTTGTCTCAAGTGCCAGGCCACATGTGCACATGGTTGAAGTTGTTCGTGTCCTGTTCTGATGTGTAGAATAATGGCTTGCTCTGGTCTGTACATAATATGGTGATCATCTTGTGCCAGTTTTAGTGGCTTTCTTATTGATTTAATTATTCCCTTCTTCCACTGATAAGAGACTGGTACGTCAGGTTTTCTTCATTTACACCTTCCTTAGCAAGTTTATCAGCTTTCTCATTTCAGAGAACATCACAGTGGGATGGTATCCATTGCATAGTTATCTTACACCGGTTGCCTAGTTTGGAGTGCATTTCCGTATACCAGGTAATTTTTCAGGTTCAAGTGTTGAGGTACCATTCTTGAATCTGTCAGGAATACCACTGGTTGACAAATATTTAGCAGTTTCTTTGCTGCTGTCTTGATGGCTTGAACTTCTACATCATAGTTGTGACAGTGCTTTCCTGTTTGTATTTTGGCTCTATCTCTGGTGTATTTAAGAGCTTTCATTTTTACACTCCTGTCCTCCATTTCTGCTTGCATTTTGTGCTGACCCATCCGTGTAGACATGAACTCAAAGATTCTATTAGTATTCATCAAGTAGACTGAGACTGGCTGTTTTACATTGCATACTGGTTTGTTCTTTCTTGTCATATACCCCTTTCACTTCTGTCTAGATGTTTTAGCAACATAAACCTCTCTCCAGGGGGTCCAATTAGGAATAGCATATAAGGGGCTATCAGTTTTGCTGGCAGTTTATTGGTTTGACTGCAGAGTCGTTGGGCCTGCTGGATGAAACTGCTTCTATTTAGCCGTCCCTTCTTCATGTGTCTTTTGGTCTGTCTTTGTGTCTATGTCCCTGTGGAAAGATAACATCACAGAGCACTACAACAGCACAATGTGTCTGTGGAAAGATAACATCACAGAGCACTACAACAGCACAATGTGTCTGTGGTTGAGGCAACCAGAAGAGCAGGAAGCAAAATGTTATTTCTTTCTCGACACCCAAGTTCGTAAAAGAGGAAGTGAAGAAGAGGAGAAAGAAATATTCTTGTTATAATTTAAACAGTTAGTCTCTGGAAGAGGAATGAGAAACATTGCATTTTTGTCAGTCCTGACAAAAATTATTTTTTGTTTTGTTTTGCCAAAAGAAAAAACCAATACGTATACTATATATACAGTCCATCTAGTGTATGTAGCCATATAGAGCTTGAGTGGCTCTGTGTATCGTATCCTTCTGACATTCTTTCACTTGGAAGAATTTATTACATAATAATTGTTAAGCACAGAAGTTCAGCCGCCTATAACCATTTTAATAAATTTTGTCACCATTTATTAATTTAAAAAAAAGTTGAGTTAGACCTTATGATGAGACCTCCACTGTCTACTGTCTGTTAGGTCACCTAGAATTGTTGACTGTATTAATCCATGGCACTTGTCCAAAAGCAGAGTAGAGAGTTAACACTGGTTTGTTTCAATGATAATTTTCATGAAACCATCTTATGTCTGCAGTTATGTGTTCTGGTTTATCTGTTGGTCTGATTAAACTGTTGCACATTGAAAAACCACCTTCATGTTGTTGTTTTTTTTGCATTTTCTTATTTGTAGACTGTCTAATATGTTTTCTTTACTGAGCTGCAAGCGAGTCATGATTCTTGGAGATTAATGATATCTTCGTACATTTTATTTTTTTAATTTCAGTTTTGTAGCATTGAAAGCTATTTTCCCAATCCAAAGATGCACCACTGGGTTTAAACTGTTTAGTCAAGGGCATGTTCCTTATGTTACTTGAGCAGGATAATGGCATCAGTTGTTTGTTTTAAGGTGCTTCAGTTTGCATCACCTATTGATAATAATATAAATGACACCATGAAGCACGTACAAGAGCCTTCTTCTGTGTTTTGATCTTCTCAACTTCTTGCCGTTTATTGAAAAAAATAGAATGCCTTGGATCATAACTTTCAAGTGCTTTTTTGTTTTTGTTTCCATACCTTAAAAATCTATTTATAAAACTTGTAACTTATCCCATGCAGTACATATTGTCTGCATATTAGTTCCAGTTACCTAGTTTTGATTGAGAAACACTTTAGTAGTGGTGGTAGCAGCAGCAGCTGTTGCTGGTGATGTTGGTATTGTTTGCGTATACCTTTCAGTCCTAATTGCAGTCCACTTCTTGATCTTCCTCTGAATGTTTGCCATATCAAACCTGGTTTCCTTATCTGCTCTTGAATTTTTCTATTAATCATAACCATTGCACCATAGATTAGAGCTGTTACTCAGAGAGCATAAAGCTCTTTAATACCACAAGTAAATTTCAAAATTCAGTACCTGAGATTTTATACTTGTATGTTCTTTAAATCCATGCTTTTAAACACTTTGTACGCAGTTTAAACAAGGTGTCTTATGCCTTCATATTTCAGTAGTAAATAGTATGTATACCTCAGTTACCTCAACCATTGACCAGTTAACACTAATCTATATATAAAACCAGATGGAGAAAACGAACATCGGCGACCAGGTCACCCATTGGCTGGCTGGTAGATGACTTGGTTGCCGGTCAGGACAGTATTTGGGTCTGTCTCTTTTGATCATTTCAACATTGCAAGAGTCCTTTTCAGAGCTACTTGGTGGCAAGCAATGCTAAGCCATTTTACATGATTCACAAAACCTATCCACAGTTATAACCTAAAGCTCCCCCTTTGGGGATGCTGGTTGGATGTGACGATTTTTTATTTTTTTTTAGCAAAACAACAAGCAATAGTCAAAAGCGACTGGCATATTTAAACAGTCTTGGAGAAGACCAGACATTATAGTGAACTTGTGCAGTAAAATTTTTGAGTTGACTTTGCCATAAGATTTAGAACAATTTCAGTATAGATATATGCATACACACTATGCACGCATGCACACACACACACCAAGTGATCTGCATGGTTTAGCCTTTATCTCATTTGGAAGGTTGTGGGTTTGATTTCTTCTTTGATCCTTCTGGTGGTTTGATTTATTACTCTATCTTTCAGTGAACAAGTATATGCATTTTGTAGATCCCTGGGGCTTATTTATAGAGCTCCTACTTTGCAAAATGCTCTTGAAGGAAGGGGGAGTAAAAACTGTTTCTAGAAGTATGTGTGAAAAAATTGTTGGTTCATGAATGCTGCAGAAGTTAACCAGGTTTCAATTCTGAAAAAAGTTTGGCTTTTTTTTTTTCAGTGCTGCAAATTTAAGTTTAAATATATTGCACAGTCTCAATTTATTATCTGTGTATACCTTTTTACGTTAAATGTATTAGTAGATTAATCTTAGGTTAATCTGAGACTTCTGTAATGAGGTTTGCAGTGTAACAATGGACAGTGTGATTTGCATACTTCACTCTTACCTTATTATGTGCTTTATGTTGATGCAAATTCTGTGGTAACCACCTGATGCAGTGAAATGTGCCATGCAATGAATTGTACACTGTTCATCATTATTGAAATTATTCATGTTAAACAATTTTGAATGTCTCCTTCTATCAGCACCAAGTGTTTTTGGTTGTCCACATATGTTAATTTTTCAGTCTGTGTGTAATTAGTATGACAATTGCTTCTTTTTCTTCTTCACCTTCTCTGTTATCACTTTAGGTATCAGGGGAGATATAAGATCCTTTTCTTTCTCTTCTGGTCACCTCAGCCATAGACACATTTTGCTTTCATAGAGTTTCTCCGATGTTATCCTTCTATTTTTTCTTGGTCTACCTCCTGCTCTTCATCTGTCTCCTCTTTTGGTGTGTGCCTTGTATGGTAAGGCAGGTGCCCATGAAAACTAGTTACCATACTCCTTAGGGAGTTTTTCTATTTAATGTTCACACTATATCAGTACGATCATATCAGTGGCTGATCATGGCCTGGGAATGCTTACAGACTCACCGACTGTTGCAGGTGGGTACAAGGTGCTGCAGGTGAAGTCATATCTCAAGGTAGCTGCAGCCACAAACAACCCTTTGCATGAAGCTCTGGGTGCAATTAAGGGTCAGAGGCTGATAAAAGGGAAGTCATGGGTGGCTCGGGCAGAAGACACAGTCAGAGAGGTTTGCATCCTCGAGAACATTAGACAAGGAGAGGAGTGGGTCAAAGTGTCACCTGAACAGTCAGACTTGTGTAGGGTCATAATCACACTGAGCCGGGATTGCAGAAACTGGCCAGCAGGTGCCACTGAAGTGGAAATTCAGCAAATAGTTCAAGATAATGCTCGCTCAGAGGATTTGATTATTTACACAGACGGTTCAGTGTCAAGAGGCAAAAGAAGTGCTCAGGGTTTCTTAGCAAAAGTAAATGGTTGACATTTGGTGCAGGAGAGCCTAGCATATGATACCACAACATCCAGCTGAAGAATGGAGGTGGAGGCGCTCACTGTAGCTTTCAGCTGGTTAAAGAACACGACACACACACACACATTTTTTTCACCGGTAGATGCCGGTGTGTTGGGAAATGAACAGACGGACAGACAGACTGGCTATGCACAACTTGGTAGAGTACTGATGCATGAAAAGGCAGACGTGGTTAGTGCCTTGTAGGAGAGTGTGTACAGTTCGGAGGAGCAGATGGATCACCACAGTCTGATGAGATTGATGAAGGGGAGAGTGACGAGAGGTTCTGGCAGATGCTAGAGGCTCAGAGGAAAGGCAAGACAAACGTTTAATCAGAATGCTACTGGCACCATTAGTACTCTTCACTGGCTGCTGAGGATGGGGACTGAACGCTTATGGGAATGCCCAGAGTGCTGTGATGTCGGTTCTTGAATCAACTCAACTCCATTTAATTTTGTGTTTATACATATGATACACGTTTATTTAGTGTTAGCCAAACAGATAGATAATTTCGGAATTTTATATTTACATTAAACCAATCAGATTGTACTCCTTGATGACCCTTTTGAATATTTTCAGATCAGTGCCTCCTTACCATGATGCTAAAGGCGCAATGAACTTTTGATGTCAATGAAAGCTATGTGATGATAAAGGCAGCTGTGCATTTCTTGACCGGTAAATGTCTAACAAAAAGGATCACTCAGAATGAAGTCATGTTATTGTGTGTTAAAAGATGCTCCTAGTAGGAATTGGGGGGGGGGGGGAGGGGGAGGGGGGGGGTGGGGGGGGGGGGGGGGGGGGGGAGCAGTGAGTATGCAGGCACATTCGAGTGTGAATCTGTTGCACAAAGTCTCAATTCATGATCGGTATCCAACCTCTGAATTCTTGGGAAATTTGACTTAAAAGCTAAACCTAATGGGGAAAAACGTGCAGAAAGCAACACAAATAACGTAACGTTTCAGTTCAGCTTTTTCGGCAAATTCCCCTAGAATTCCTTGCATTAGCTTGACTGCAGTCACCTCCATATTTTCATCCAACATCTGAGCATGTGAAGTTGAACACTTTGTCAATTATGCTGTTTGTTTTCAATGTTTTTGGGTGGGATAGCTAGGCATCAAACATTTCCTAAGGCTTGTTTAAATGTCCAGGGTTTGGAAATCTGAATTTTTTATTTCTCGTTGGGAAATTTAATATATGTTGTAGACATTATTTCTGTAGCTAGTGAATTGTAATTTAAGTGAACAATGATTTGTTCCTGAAATCTGTTGTTGATAAAACCAGGAGTTTTTACAGTTTTGAATAGATGTATTTACTTTTACTAAATATACAATTGTTTTTTTTTTTTATAAATATTAGTGCAGAACGGTTTTACAAATACATTTTACAGTTGTATTGTGACATACGAATCAGCTGAAATCAAGAACCTATTTATATTTAAAGCATAAAGTATCAGGTGATAAATAAACTGTGTTGTGTTGCTGTGTACTGCAATACTTTATGGCAGCTTTCTGAAACTGAGAAAATAAATTATATAAATTTCATGTTTCTTGTCAACATTGAGGATTGATATTATGGGAGTTCATTTACAAGTTTCACTTCATTCATTTTTGAGAAATACCCGTGAGTATTGTCATAGTTACTGATTGCAGGAGTCTTCGAGACAATGTTACCACTTCAAGCTTCACATTTTTATAACACTGCTTACATGTCGCAAATTTTATTTGGTAACATTATATGCTGACGACAATTAAATTATTAACTCATTAGATGGTTACAGAAACAAAAACAAAAATATTCTTTCAGCTTGAAATACCAATCTTCTAATTCAAGCTGCTGATAGATATTTTTGTTTGAATAAATACATTTCTAATGGATATTTTGATATCCAGATAGCATGTAGAATTTTTTAGGAAGGTGCAGTGTTGAAACAAACATTCATGGGTGTTTCCAATGTTCACTAATTTTGTTATTTGATATATAAATTCTACTGTTTTGTTATTTTTCTTGACATGTTTTATTTCTTGGAGTGATAGTTGAATTTGCAGTTTCAAGTTTTATTTGTAACAGTTGTAATGGAGAGCATGTTGTTTTAAATTTATAGATTTGTAACAGGATTATTTTTGTCTTCTTTATATATTGCTTGAATATACTTATGTTTAACCCGTGTATCATATGAGAATGTGCATAGTATAAATATCAGCCTTTTCTTCTTTATTTCTAGTTATTTTTACAATGTAACTTTTACACACAGAATATCATCTCAAGATCATTCAGTTTAGACAATAGTAGATCAATAATTTCACGGTGTTAGCTCTGTTTTGATTGTAATAACACAATATGAAAATTCCTCACATATCAGCAGTTTGAAGACAACTGTTGATAGCAGTCTGAAATTATAGTTTGTAACATATGTTGACCATAGCAGAAAACTCTACTGCAAAGTAGGTATTTGTGTATTTACATCTTAAAAATTAATATAAACATAAATAAGTATATTATAGTAATTTATTGCTAGTAAATCTAAACAGTATGAAAATGTATCACAGGGATAATGCCATAGTTACACTTGTATGAAAACTTCCTTGAGCATGATTAAATTCACTGACCAAACCTATTAATAATGTATTCACAGGTTCACAATTATAACCATTCTTCTTCTTCACTTTCTCTTGTACCGCTTGAGATATATCAGTCTATATATAGATATATTCATTTATGTCACTATTCCTAAATTATGTCATGTGAAATGAAAATGTATATTCTGTCTCTTTTATAAGTTAAAAGACTTACACAGTGTGATCAGATTTCAGAATTTTTGCACTGCAAAACAAGATGCACAGCATTGTTTAAGATGCAGGCAGGTATATATATAGCCTTGTTTTATAGATAGAAGGCTTGTTTTGTAGATAGAAGGCTTGTAAGGGTAAATGTCTCCACAGCTGGAAATTGGTATTTTAAAAAACCCATCAGTATATGCTTTACCAACAGGTATTGATCATCTTCATTCACATCTATCAGCCTTAGTAAAATGCATAAATCATTGTAAATGTTGCTAATTTTTCCAAAGTCATAATTGAATAGTTGTCAAGGATATTACGTCACTGCCTTCTGTCTTATTTTTTCCCACTAACAGTCACCATCAGCTAAAGTTGTTTGTCTGGGATTTGCTGAGCTGAGTAATCTACTCTTGGTAGCTTGGTGTCATTGTCCTCAAGTTGCAGGTTGTTTTCCCAGTGCTTGTGAATATATAAGACACAGAGAAGTAACCTTTTGTTTTATTGGGATGTGAATAATGTCTGCACAAGAGTGCAAATTGATTACTGATATCAATCTTTTCACTGAGATTCCCAGTATAAAATTGAAAAACATGGCATGATGATTTCATTTATGGCGTAAGTGAAAATTAAGATTGTTGTGATGTGTGTAAGGAATTATTCCATATCTCACCGCGGGCTTTAACAAGCACTGTGTTAGTTTTTCAGATCCTCATGCAAGACTCCTGTCACATATCCTCATCATGCGCTATGGATAATGGTCTGTATCAGCCTAAACTGAGCTGGCAGGGGATCTTAGAGTTGGTGGCCCTAAGAGATGTGGTGCCTGAAAATCCTCCAGCACTTGTCAGCCCACTCCCTCTGTGAATGGGTGATAATGTACATGGGAAAACTCGTATGGAACTTGATTGAAGTCGGCTGGGTACCCTACTAAATAGCAACTCTGATTCAGATGCCTGTCTTTCATGTGGCCTGTATGAAAAACCTCTGTATGACCGCAAAGATTCACACATTATAATCCAAGTAAAGGCCAAACTGACGTCTACCCATCAGTCATAGAATTCATAGGAAGAATGTTTTTGTATATCATGTCTCTTTAATTGTATAGTCTTCAAAGAGAAGCACATCACAGGTTCTCGCTAGCCACTGCCATTTGTCGCAGATGAAGTCAAGTGGCATGTGGACATTATTTGTGGGAATGAACATCTACTTACACTGCAGTCAATATTCATTATCATTCCCCTTTTTTTAAACAGGAACTTGTCACTCCTCTAGTGTTACCTACTTGAAGACTTAAGTTACTGTTTAATCATATACAGGTTCTATGGCTGCCACATTATTTTGTTTCTGTTTCAAAATTTTTTGAGTTGTCAGCACAATTCCTCTCAGTTCTATGACATTTTCGGGTTTAATCTCTTTGCTAAGTATCTCTTTGTTGAGTATCTCTTTGTTTAGTATCTCTTTGCTAAGTATCTCTTTGTTGAGTATCTCTTTGTTGAGTATCCCTTTGTACAAGAACTACCTAGAAAGTTTTAATGTAGCAAAGCTACCTGCATTTTATAGGATTGTTTTAGAGAAAACTGTTGTGATAAATTATGAAAACTATATGGTGCCATAATAAAATGCATAGTGAATTTTTATTCAAAGGTAATTGAAAACACTTTCATTTTTCTTTGTTCTTATGTTTACTATATGTGAAGTATTTAATTAAATAGAAATTAGTATACACTTTAGAAAAGATCCCAAATCATTGGAAGAAGAAAAATAATTGTTAAAATTCAAAAGAATGGTAATCTCACTGACTGTAAGAACTGGAGAGAAATTACTCATTACTCTTTTATCAGTAATATCAAAGACTTTTTGTAAAATAATTCTCAGTACAATTAAAGTGGTAGTGGATAAAATCCTCTGAGAGGATCAAGTAGGTTTTCAACCTGGAAGAAGCTGTTTAGGTCAGATACTTGCCTGTGACTTATATGAATTTGTTGAAAACCTCAAGTGGGGGGGAAGAGGGGGGGGGGGGGGGGGGGCGGTTAAAGGACTCTAAGAAAACTTGATATTTGACACAGAACATTATTATGGGAAATTTGGACTTCTGTGGTGTACCAATGAAACAAATATTATTGAGGCTCAGAGTGTGCATTGCAAACAGATGATGGTTTAAATTATTAGTTTGAAGATAATACTGGAGCGAAACAGGAGTGCATTTGATCTGCCCTGGTATTTTGCTTAACCATTGACTGTGTGATGATAACATCTGTTTTAAACACACCAGCATTGACTGGGTGGAGAATACACAGTTTGAATAGCTCCACTTTGCTGATGATACTATTCTGCTGGAAAAAAAAACAATGACAAGAAAAAACAAACTTTATTTAGCATATCATCATAAACTTCCACTTCTGCAATTAGGCATCATAGGGAGGAACAGTTTGCCAGCCATTGTTTGATGAGCAGCAATCGCTATTGTCATTCCCTGTCGATGTAGAAGCTCTTTAATGTCATCAATTCATGTTCTCCTAGACCAGCCTCTTGCTTTCACTTCAGATCTGTTCATGTGTAGCGCCGTCATTGGTCATTCTGGCTGCATTCTTACTAGATCACGTAACCATTTTATCTTCTGTTTCTCAGTGAATTTGCTGCATGGTGTTGTTCCTACAGTCTTCTAATAATATCATTTTTAACTTTCTCTTAGATGGTTGTTGGCTGCTTTTCTCAGGCATTTCATTTCAGATGTGGTAATTTTACATAGGTTAGCATTTGAAAATGTCTAAGTCTAGCACTTGAAGCACAGTGTTGGTATGAATATGCTGTTTATAATCTTTT